CCATCCAAGTCTCTCTCTCTCTCTCTCTCTCTCTCTCTCTCTCTCTCTCTCTCTCTCTCTCATGCTCCTTCCCACCTTCTCCACTCAACAGCCTTTCCCTTTCTTCTTTATGCTAATACACCCCCATCCACCCCCCATCAACCCCCCACCCTCCCTTTCCCCTCACTTACCTTCCCCGAGGTTAAGACGCACTCCCCCGAGAAAGTCGTTACTGGAAAGTTTTTCTTGGTCCCAGATGGTGAGCTCCAGGCCGTGGAGGTGCAGTTGATCCTGATCCACACCCTCAAACACCAGCGTGTGAGACCACTTGGGGTTGGTTGTCTTCTTGATCACTGGCGTTTTCTGCTTGCTGCTGTGCCGCTCATCAGGGAGCAGGTAGCTGCAAGAAAGAAAATTAAATGCATGCCGGTATTATTCATCAAAAAGAAATATACATTGGCATTTTAGATACAGAAAAGAAACACACTGGTAATAATATATTGAAAAAGGATACGCTGGTAATATATACAAAAAAAGAAATGTATGTTGCTTTTCTGTATATTACCAGTGTGTGTTTCTTTATGATTTATACAGTGGTGTCCAAAAGAAACTTGAAAATCTAATCACCAAAACATCGTATTAAAGCCTTGTACCGGTACTTTCAACTCATGCAACATACCAATTTAAAGCTAAATAAATCTTGCATCATCAGACACCCATTAATAATTCACCTATGTCAAGAGAAGCTCGAGATATGGTCACTCAAAACTGACCTTAAAAAATCAGGCTTGGCAAAATTGTGAGAAATCAAAGAAACGTAAAAGTGTATTCGCGTGTATTTTGGGGTGCTTCAACATTGGGGGAATGGATATGCATTGAATACCAAACGAAAAGAGAATATTATTGTCTCTGCAATGAACAGCATCTTCATATGATATTTTCAAACAGATTGGAAAACAGAGCAGTTACAAATACCAGACAAAACCTGGACTCAACAATACATGTACTCATTAGTATGATTTTTTTAAAATGTTGGAACTATTGGATTCATGTAGAGCATGAAACCTATTTTTATAACTGTGTTGGTTAGATGTTGGACATAATCATTTGTCAATAAGGAACAGAGGCCATGACACTGCTATGGGTTTGGGTGGTTTGGGGTGGAATGAACTTGAGAATCACCAGATGGCTTGGTTTAGTTGACTACATCATGTATGTGCTGGAACATCATATCTGACCCTATTTTTGTCATGGTGTCATTAATGTAGACATCTCCATGCATAGCAAAAAAAAACATGAATAACATCCTCACAGGGGAGGCAAACCCAAGCTTCTTAGGAACAAGAGCCTAATCACTGTACTAGACGAGGAATGAGGAAGTATAGAAATGCAAACTAGTAATATACAAAGCATACACAAAACAGGACAACAGCTGTATATATTCAAGTATTTCTTGTGACATTCAGCATCACAGTCATACGAAAAGAGGTTTGGTCAGGAAACAGCCCATCTGTTAGCAATATGACTGAGCCTGTGTTAGCCAGCCTTGAAAACTCTCTGAAAACAATCTACCTATAAGACGCCAGTGAGAATGAAACCTGGGACCCTTTTTCCTCTTCTATTCCCGGATACATATTGCATTCTTTTTTATCCTTAATCTTTTCTTCTTTCCTTTCTCAATCAAGTTCACATTGGGGTTTTGCACCATCAACGATCTCACGAAATTTTGGGATAGAAAGGAAGAAGATGATTTTATAGTGTGGTCTCCGTCAACTGGTCATATTTTATCACAAGTAGGTCTGTACATTTCAGATCCACCTATAGCTGATGAAGTCCTTAAGTGTGCTAGGTACAAAGCTTTGGAGATACAAAACCATTTTAATCACTCAGTCCGTCTGTTTGTTTGTTTGTCTGTCTAGCCTCTCTCTCTCTCTCTCTCTCTCTCATATACCACAGCCAACTCACCCTTTACAAAAAGAATTCGACCCAGCTGCAGCCCTCATTGCTGTGAGATTCTGTGCCTCTCTTATGAGGGCATGCACCTCCCCAAGTCCGGCTTGTGATTTAGAATCCTTGTCCTTGGCTTTACTCTTGCGTGAGGATCCAGACTTCTTCTTGTTGCTTGCCTCCATCATGTCCGCTGTGACATACTTGAGAGAGATGAACAAGTCACCTTTGTATGTCATCAGAGATGTGTCTTCTGGAGCAACCTGACAGGGGCACAGGACGAGATTGAGGCTCAGTTTCAAGGATTCCACGACATCCTGCTTATAACAGTTGTTACGGATATCTACATCCCCCCCCCCCACTCCCCCAATTTAGATCATTTAGAAGGAAGGCTTCTTTCACCTTGCCTTTCAGGGTGAGCCTGGGCAGAGAGAGCTGCAACATCCCAGCTGACAGATGGTGATATTTGGTTTTAAAAATATTTTTAAAAGGGTCCTAACATGTGAACTGAACTGATGTGGTAAAGCCATAATCACTACACCACTCAAACCAGTATTCCTTTAATCAAGTTCTATAAGTACAAGGGGGTAGAATGTCAACAAACAACAAGCATGAAGCATGTCATGTCTGCCTTCATGTTATTCCCATTAAATACTTTGTTTGTTTCATAAGGGTCTTGTTTACCTACAAATGTCCACTGGAGAAAAATTCAATACCTGTTTACACTTCAGATTTTTAAATTTTAAAAACTCAGTGACAAGAAAAGAAAAAAAAATGGTTTTTAAATAAACACAAAAAGCAATTAGACACTGAAAGGCATATGGGTCTATGATGTCAGAAAATTCAACACAATGGATGGGGTTTCATAGACATAAACCAATCTAACAGTCATTTTGAACTAAACATCAAACCCTGAGTAGGCCAAACTAGAAAACACTACCACTCACCCTCTCCTGCAGGGTATACCATGTGGGGCTGTTCTCTTCGAACCTGTAATAGTCCATGGGTATGGTCACTTCTCCAAGAAAGTCATTTCGGCCAAACCTGTCATTGTGCCACACCGTTATCCACAAGGAGCGAGACTCCAGCTCAGTCTTGGAGATTGGATACTGGAAACAGGAAGAAGATAATTTACCAACAGCTTCTCTGATCTCTACCGGCCACAAAATTATGATAACCATATAGACCCTCAGAGCATGGTAAAAAATCAATGATTGAACTTTGGTGAACTTATTTTTTAATTTATCAGTACTTTTATTGGTTGACGGACATAAATCTCAAACCAACATACAGAATGTTTCCCAGACTTTTTTTAAGTTAAATGAAAATTTGCTAATTTTTTTGCAGTAGGCTACACTGCATGTTAGGAAAAATTATTGGGCAGTTTTAAGCCCAATTTCAACAAATACCAACTTTCATACAGCAAAAAAAAGTACTCTACTGCAAAAGGAGTATATTACAGTAACAGTCAGTGATATTAGCAAAGTCGCAGTTCTGAGGCTGACAAGCTGCAGACAACATCATTGTTAATGATCACCAGCTGACTTTCATTAGGATTAAACATGCACATTTGAGCACCTGCCTGCCTTACCTTCAGTACTTCATCAAATGTTGGGTTTAGGGTGTGCTTTTTGATTTTGGTTTTTCTTTTGCTCCCTCGAGTTTTGTCTGGTAACAGGTAGGTTTTTACATAGCTGAAAAGGAGGGAAAAAATGTTACAATAAAGCTGGGCACAGCGGTACCTGCTCAACATGGCCATAGTCAGTCATTTTTGCAACAAGTTGGCCTCAAAACCTGCCCATAGCAGTCACTTGCTACAAAAAGTTTTCAGCAAACCTGTCCCCAGACTGTGTGTGTATGTGTTGAATCAATGCAACGAAGCTCTTTTATTGGATAACAATGCTGATGGAAATGAAGAGGAAAGATTACATCAAGACTTCAAATTTTCATCCATCTATTGACTTTGTGAAGTATAGTGAGCGATTGTAACTCAGACTCTGTCCATAGCGACCACTTGTCTATAAAAATACCTTTTCTTTGTGATCTTGAAAAACAGTTCTGAACATAGATGTTCTATACCTGAGAAAAGGAGGGAGAAGTGAGTGAAACAAGGACTAAGCATACATGCTGTACTTTACCACGCCTGTGCCACACAGTTGTAAGAGGCCAACTCACGGATCAGATCTATTGTGCTTGGTGTCAACCGGGGCCAAGTCCCTGCAGGCCTTGATGTGAACACCCATAACCTTGGCCTTGTAGTCGTAACTGAGGTGGAGCTTGATGTCCCCCGTTACTGGGATACGGCCATAGTTAACCTCCCCCGCATTGCTGTACACGCTGTAGATACTCTCACGACTGTCCTACAGGAACATGGGAGTTAACATAGTACTGTAATTAGTGAAAAGTAAAAAGATTTATTCTATGGTGCATCTAAAACAACTGAACTGTCTGTGTCTACAGGTAAACTATCATGGAGAAGCACAAGTTGAATGTACAGAACAATTTCTACCTGCCTAAAATAGTTTATGAAATTCCATATTAATCAACCATAACTAATGTTTGAATCCATACATCTGACAGTGCAGAAGAATTTTTAAAAATCTTTGAACAACAAGCGAATATCAAATTTATACAATTAATTAAATTGTGATTTTTTCTCGTAAATAAAATTATGTTTCCACTTATGCATTCATGATCAAAACCAAAAGTTCAATTTGAAGTAAATGTAAAATCATTATATCAAATAAAACACATTTTAAAAACTGAAGTGTACTAGAATGGAAACAACCTTCACAGTAAATCGGCAAAATTTTTTATTTGAAAAATTGGAAGGCATATAAGTAGTACAAGTACTTGATTTTAAATTTGCTATAAATAAAACATTTCAAAAGATACAGAACAAGAGAAAGAGTATACTAAAAAACACTATCCTTCTAAAATCATAGGGAATAAATGAAAGGTTTGGGGACATAAGAGAAAATTGAATTTGGAAAAAAAAATGAAGCACATTCACCTGCAGGGGAAAAAAAACCCATTGGGAACAAGCAAAAAGTTTAGAATCAAACATGATAGTAAGTTGAAGAGAAATCAGTAAACAAAGCTACAAATTATGTACAGAAACAGCTCTTTCTTTCTCTGTCCGACTGTCTGTCTGTCTGTCTGTCTGTCTGTCTGTCTGTCTGTCTGTCTGTCTGTCTG